TTAAAAGAACTTTTTCGTAATTTAATGCAAAGGCGGGGATTTCATAGCAAAGGCTTATTTAAAAACAGGAGATTCTGGGTGGGAGAGCCTGCTATGATTTAAAAGTATCTCAGTATCTACTGTGAACAAAATTTCAAATGTATGCTGCATAAGAATTAAAGGATTAATGTCTGATATCCTATCCCAGCTGGAAGAAAAATTAACAAGAAACTGGTTACTGTATCAACTGCCAGATCTGTGAAGCAAACTGGTGAATTTAGGTGTTGAGACCACAAACTGGGAGGTCTGTTCTCCTACACAGAGCTCTGTTTGGATCTTTGTAGAAATTGGTAGGAAAAAGATATTTACATCAACAAGGTTCACCCATGGCTAGCAGATCTGTGAGGTTTGGGTATGTATGTATTTTAAATCTGATTTGGCTTACTGGAAAAATTAGAAAGGTATTACAGTACTTGTTCTAGCTAACTCGTGAAAAGCATGAAAGTGAGATTACCTGAAAAAAAGAAAAAAGCAGGTATCAGGCTAGCAGGAAAATACCTGCATGTTTGATATTACTGGCAAAGAGGACATTCCAAGATCCGTTATTAATAAAAATGGCTAATCTCAAACACTTACTGAAGCTTTTCCCGTGTCAATAGAAAAGAAAATGGAAAAAAAAAGCATTGTACATCCACTTAAAAGAAATATTTTTATATGGGTACTCCATTTAGTTGGAAAAAATAATTTCAAATTCAAGAGACAGCAATATTACTGAGTGATGTGTTCTAATGGGCACAGCTGGTCGGTGTTTCAGGGGCTGGGAGAGGTCAGCACTGCCCTTAGCAGCACTTACTGCCCTACAGCTTTTAGATGTTTGTGAAGTTTCAAGGATTCAAAATCCTTGTACATATGAGAGAGGATGGCTCTGCTGCTCCCAACCATCAGTGGAAACCCCAAAGAAAGGAACAGACCCAGCTGCTGCTGTTCTCCAGAGCCAGCAGTCCTGGGTGGAGCTGGCATCCCTGCTTTGCTTTTACCTCTATTGCACTTAGGGATTGCTAGTCCAGAGCCCACGTTATTCCCAAAAGGACTTTCCCTGCACAGAGGATTGATGCTCTCTGGGAAGCACAAGGAGCATCAGAGACACTTCTTGTGCTCGGTGCTGGAGGGCTCAGGGATGGAGCCTTTCCAGGCCAGGTCACAGCCCCAGGACAAGCTCTGGGGACAGGAGATCAAGACCCTGAGCAAGCTGCAGATCAGCCTCAGGGACACTGCAGGCTCCCCACACCTGCCCAGTGCCACCATCTCCCACAGCTCCCCATGGGCCAGCATTAGACAAGGAGCCTCAGGTCCCCGGGGATGGGACTTGTGGATAACCTGGAGCCCATGAACAACACATACCAACCTCTTACCTGGTGAAAACCCCACCAGACAAAGCTTCAAGCCAGCAGCTGTTTCAGCACTCCCCTACAAGCAAGTCCATGCCGAACTCTTAGGATTTTAGGTATATATTTCACTCTCTGAGCAACAAATAAGCTGAGCCCGCACAGCTGGGAAACCGGAGGCAAAGGTACTTTGTGAGATTCATCTCTTGTGTTTGGTCTTCTGAAACTCAAAAGGTAGCTGTGAGCAGTGGAGGCAGCAGTAGGAAGGCAGGACAACCACAGGGTTTTAATGAGGACAGGAGAAAATTGCTCCCAAAACTCGGCAGTGCTGAGGCTTTGTGCTCTTTGGACTCACATCAGAGCTGCTGCTCGAGTTGGGGTTGAAAGCCGAGAGCTGCAGGTGAGACAAGCCCCTGGCATTGCCAGTCCTCGGGAAGATGGGCTGCAGTCACCTCCCAAACGGAACCAGGCAGCTTTTGAAGGGCTCCATTATCAGTGAGCAGCAGCTGGGCACAGGCAGAAAGGCATCATTATCCAGAGGAAACCACCAGCCAGCCACGAGGCCCAGAGCTCTGGTACAAAAAGCTCAGGAAAACCGGAGTGCAAGCTCAGACACAGCATCTCTATTACAACACGTCTAATCCCCATTTTCTGTGAGCAACAGGAGAATCCTCACTCGGACACAATCCTGACACAGCCTCACAATGCTGCTCTGCAATTGCCACAGGCTGAGACCAAAGGCAGCTGCCCTGGCACAGTGATGGCTCCAGCCAGGTGAGACAGACCCCAAGTACCATTTTACTCAACTCCACACTGACCAATCTCACTGAGACTTTGTTCAGCCTGCTGCCACAGCAGGGGGAGATTCTGCTGTTTCAGGGGCAGGGAGGAAGCACAGAGGAGGAGTTTCAGGAGGCTGCTGCAGAAGGCAGGAATTGAAGGAGGATCACACACGCTGTTCCCTGCTTACCCAAGTCACCCACGGAGATCTCAGCAAAGCTCTGTGGATGTCCAGGCTTCTCCCACTGCTGATAATCCAGGTGAGGTTGTGGAACCCAAATGCTGTCACCAGTTCCCTCAAAGGCAGAGCCTGGGGAGCTCAGGGAGGGGTCACTGTCCACAGCAGGAAGAGCAGCTGTATCCAACACATGCCTCCATCTCACCAAGGCCTAAAGTGCTCCTTCCTTGGGCAATTGCTCAGTCCCTCATGCAACATCCCGGGAATGTTTCTGGCTCTTCTGGGTCCAGAAAGGTTTTGTGAAGTCCTTGCTGTTGCCAGGGCAGGACAGCCCATACACAGTGGTGACTGCTCAAGGGGAAACACCCAAAAAGCCCAACAAACTCAGCTATAGCTGTGGTTTCAGTAAAAGAACAAAAAAATAAAGGCAGGTTATTCTCTTTATCAAGGGCCATCCTGTGTGCACTTCTTAGCTTGGCTGGAAGCACAGTACAAACCCTCGTGTTTCTCCATGTCCTGAAGTCTTTTGTGGCACAGAACAGAAACACAGATTAAAGTGAGAGTACAGGAGCCAGGCAACACAGGTGATGAAGGCAGCTCTCAGAACACCTGCAGGAATTGGTTTCAAGTGGGGCCCATTTGTTTGAAGGCTGAAGAAGTTCAAGAGCTGTGCAGACATTGGAGGCAGAGTCGTGGAGCTCCAGCTGGGTCCCTGCTGGTGTCCAGCCCACACCCTGCAGGGTTTCATCCAGGACAGCAGGAGAACACAAACACAGCACATCCCTGCTTCTGGAGGCTGCCCTAAAATACACCTTAATATACAGAAACCCTTCTTGAGCCTGGAGAAGCCCCAGTGCTTCCCTCATTGCCTACATCAGGTAACCAGTGCAAGAAACTCCCTCACCAATGCAACTCCTTCGATGGGCACTACAAAGACTCCTCCAGCCTTTGGAGGACTGGGGACAGTGCAGAGCACAGGCTTGGGGAGGGATGCACGAACAGGACACACAGAGCTCAGACACCCTGGCTGCCTCTGCTGGTGCCTCTGCTCTGGAGTCTGCACCTCCCACAGCATCCCCACATCACTGGCCAGCCAAAGCCTGCTTCAAAGAAAACACAAAGCACGCAGCTAAAAGATATTCACTTACAGTTTATTTTTGCCTGAAATTATTTCACATCTCTTTGTACACAGCTACAGAACAGTAGTAGTAAACCATTGGTAAAAGCAACAGTGCTAAGGAAAATGTTGGCATATTTTTTCTTCTTTTTTTTTTTCTCCTTTTTCTTCTTCTTCCTTCCCATACTGCATCTTCATACAGTCTGGGATTTGAAGGGGGGAAAAAAAACCTGACACACTACATGAGTTAAGACTCAATTTCTGTTTCATTATTAAAAAAAAAAAAAAGAAAAAAAAGAGAAAAACAACATCATTTGGGATGGGGTTGTCTACATAGCAACAAACTTTAAAAAAAGAAAACAACAAAAAATCCTGAACAAAAAAGCTTGGCTTTCCATTGAATAAGATTAAATATATATATATATTTATATAAAAAATTACATTGGCTGTATGTGAAACCTTGAGGTGCTGAAGAATAAAATAAAAGTGTTAAACAGAGGAAAAAACTTTTTGTTTTGTTTTTGTTTTGTTTTTTTTTAAATAAGCAGCTCTGTACAATGAAGGCTCATTATGAAAAAAAAAAGTCAACAGCATAGTTATAAAAGAAACCACAATTTTTAAAAAATCATCCTCTAAGCAACTGTGGAATTTGAAAAATGTAGCAGTCACATTTACAGACAGGTCAGAGCTATCGGATCAGCAACACCGCGATTTCCTCAGTCTCCCCAGAGGAACATGCAGAACAATGCGTGCACAGAACAGGGCAGGGAGGGGGGCACAGGACAGGGGAGGGAATGAGGGCAGGGGGGGAAATTTAAAAAAAAAAAAAAATGAACAGAAAAAGCTGATGCACGAAGTGGGGGGAGAGCTTTTTTTTCTGTTTTTGAAATATCGGACGTAAACAGAAAACAACAGAGGCAACTTGGAAAATCTACAGTTTGCAAACACCCCACTGGCAAAATAAACATCTTGTCCCCATCTCCCGTGTTTAAACCTGACATGGCTTAGAAGACTAAAGAAAGTTTCCAGACTTTGGAAGGAATTGTGACTTTTATTAATCCCTGCACTCCCTCCCCCAACAACCATGCCCCCCTTGATAAAGATTTTCCTTCCTATTTGATAACATTTGAGGCATTTTGAAATCAAAAAGACAACGCGATGAATGTTGACAAAGAGGGAGTATAATACAGTTTGCATTACTAAAAGGCAATTCTTCAAGGAGGACATTTCCTTAAAAAAAAAATAATAATAACAACAAGACAGCAAACTAGTTTATACAGTACTATACGCAAAAAAAGGGTAAAAGAATTAACAATTCATAAATAAAAGACAGGTCCCAGACCTGTTATTTGTGAACCATTTTCTTAAATAGGTGCATTATGTAAATCTTATGTACAACAAAATTACTTTGCATAACAACTGCAAGGACATGACGGGAAGTGAAAATCATATTGGTTTTGGTTTTCTTCTCTTGAGATTTGTGAAGTTTGATTTTCTGGAGCAAAACTGGTGAAACAGGAGTTCTGGCTGGCTGGGTGCCAGCCAAGGAAACCCAGGTAAGTAAGGACAAAGGAATATATTTTTTTTTTCTCCACACGGCATAAAACACAAAGGCAAATAAAATCCACAAAGGTGTTTTTTTCCTCTTTATAATCCTCTTGCTGCTACAAAGTCCTTATTTTGTTTGTTTCCTTCCTTTTCAATTTAAATTATGTTGATTCTGAAATCACAAAGCCGAAAGAATCCGATGGGGTCCAGGCTTGCCCCGTCCTCCCAACGCACACAACTCCACTCTGCTACCCCACAACCACAACTCCTGCCACCAAGTTCCCAGACTCACTGCTCTACAGGAATTGGCCAAAAGTTATTTTCCGGTTTGTTTCAATCTGTCTATTTTAAAAATCTTTTCCTTCTCACGAGAAGCAAAAGAGAAGAGTGGGAGGCAGGGAGAGTTCACCAGGCTTCAGTGTAGCGGACGTCCACCTCCTTCAGGTTGGGGAGTTTAGCCTGTGAGGGGAGGAAAGGTCAGAATTAACAATGTGTTCAGGGCTCAGTAAAAAGTTCCTGTCAAATCTCTTGTGTGGGATCATTCCCTGTACTTATCCAACAGAGCAGTGGTATCCAAATCTGAGGAGGAACTGGGGGTGGGGGGTGTGTGTGTGAAAGAACTTCCTGGGGAAGGAGAACATCTTGCCCTGCTGCTGTTGGTGTTGGTGACTGGCTGCCCTGGGTAGGGAAAGGCCAAAACAACCTTGGTGTCCCTTGACTTTTTGTGTGACAGCAAGCCTGGGACCTTTGCAGTTCTGAAGACTGTACTTGTATTTTGAATGTGGGCTCCCAAAAGAGGATGAAAGCACCTCCCCTCCCCTTGGCAAGGGAAGCACAGAGCCCCACTGGTGCTGAGGATGACGGGCAGCCCAGCAGAGGTAAAGGGCAGACACAGCTTGCTGGCCTGGGAGCTCCTGTGTGGAAACAACCCCTGGACTTACTCAATTCAGAGGTGGCATCCAAATCTGTAGGAGGGCTACAGAAAGGGACAAAGCACCTCCCAGCAAACCGGGAGGATTGATCTGTTAACTGCAGGAAGAGGAGTGACACCCTGGGCTCAGTGCTGAGCTCAGCGTTGAGCTGGGAGAGGCAGGTGTGCCAAAGGAACCACACGATCCTGAACCACTGCAGACACACAGGACTAAGTCCCACCTGCTCTCTAAAACCCATGCACCAGGTCCAGATCAGACCCTGATCTTCATTTTTTATGCAAATGCTTAGCAAAACATGTCTGTCCAACTTCTGCCATGAAGGCAGTGGACTCACACTGCAGCAGAGAGAAGAGACACATTCCTCCTTCAGCCTCCACATTGCTCATTTTTCCCTCCATGTACTAAAACAACTCGTGGAGCATTAGCAACTTTTGGTGTCTTTGGTCTCCCTTCCACAGCTCTGCTGCTTTTTTGGCCATCTCATTCCTGGATCGCCCCACACGAGGCAGATGGGATAGGCTCATTGCACTGCTCCTTTCCACAATCCCCTTTCCATGCTCTCTGACCATAATTGCACTGCTAATTCTCTCAAAACAAATAAACATGTTTAATTAGGCCAGGGCATAATTGAGGACTTGGAAGTTTCTAGGAGTCATTATTACCTCACTCCTTGATTTATGTGCACGCATATTTTGATAAGAGCTATTCATAATCCTACAGACACTGCCAGCAAATAATTTTTCAGTTAGGCAATAATGACTTCAGTAGTGGGTGTTTATTTATTGTCTGGTTCAGCCTGCCTGGTACATATGTGGGTGTCTGTGTGTGTGCAAGCGTGTTTAGTGGGGTGGGGGATGGAGCTGAGAGGAAATGTCATCACTGGCTTGTGCCCCAAATGCTCTTGCAGACCAACGTGAGAAGGAAAGATTTGTATCAAAAAAATGTTCTTTGAAGTCAGAGCTGCTCTTAACAAACCTACAACTATGTGCCCCAGGGAGAGAAACTACTACCTTTGAACACAGACAGAGCCCTAAAAAAAAGGGCCAAGATAAATCTCAATGGAAGAGGCGAAAGGGAAAAGAGTGATGCCTGCCTGTTTTCTCAGCTTTAGGAATTCTCTTCAATCATCAGGACTTTGCTCACAGGCAGTTTTGCTGTTTGCCCTGGCAAGTCACTTTCTTGTATGGCTGCTAAGGACTACCAGAGCAGAGGGAACTGGTTAGGAAAACGTGAGTTTCAGTAAGAAGTGAGTGGCAAAGGGGCTCAGAAGCAGAGGTGGGATCAGGGAAGCCTTTCAATAGATGTGATTTCAGAGCCCTGGCCCAAATACAGCATTGACCTTGATTGTCTGTAAATGCCTGGGGCCTGATACAAGCTCCATTGTGTGAACCCATCTGCAAGCCAGCTGTTAATTGCACGGACTTCTTTGCATATACAATTGTGACACAAGTTTTTAAAACTTGATCTTGAAAACTCCATGCAAGCAGCATTGCAGCTGAGTCCCTGGGGGAGCCCTGGCTCCACAACCAGAACCAAAGATAGATGTTTGCAGTGAATTTTGAAACCAGAGCAATTACAGGACTTGCTTCAAGTTCCAAACTCAACCCAAGGTTGTGACCTTTTAAGTAAACGTGGCCCAATCTGTTTCAACATCCAAGACAAGCAAATGTCAAGTTTCATCTTGAGTCCCTGGGTCTCTAAGGTAAGATTTTGGGAGATGCAACTCAAACACCACCAGAATTAAAGGCAAAGTCCACATGAAGTCACGAAAGCCAACACATCTCAGGCAAGCCTTGAAACCACCCGGGGCTACATCCTGGTTCTTTACACCATTTTGCCTAAGTGGTTATAAACTTACAGTAAAACCAGACATTACATGTCAAATTTTGGAACTGGGCATCTGTGCAGACATTTCTGCTCAGAGCCTAATTCCAGTCCTAGAGGTGTCAAGATAAATTTGCTTCTTCCTCGATGCTTTCAGTTCTCCCTTTGCATTCCAACTCAAAGCTCATGATACTGTTCACCCAAGTTACTTTGGGTCCTGGTAACAGTACAGGATATGGTGTGCACTAGATTGCACCTGTCTCTGTATCCTCATCAGAAACAATCCATATGCTTCTATATATTTATGAAACTTTTACTGATAAAGCCTTTGCTGTTGATAGCACAGGCAAAAAGACTGAGCTGCTGATTCTATCTCATACTTCTCCATTCAGTGTATTAAATATTTCCTGGGTCCATCAAAGCCAGCAATCTCACAATGCTGCTTTCAGTCATTATATCCACAAAATAATCCACTTCACCCTCTTCAGATAACTTTCATGCTCCCCACTCCACAGGGTCAGTTCTCCTTGCCCTAGGCATCACCAACATGCTCTTGCTACAGCTACTTCTTATCTTTAGAGGATGCAATTCACAAATACCTTGAGATCTTCGTAGGTATCTGCTGAAAGTTTGGTGCTGTTCATATTTAAACTACACAGGCTCTTCATGGCTAAAAGAGAAAACACACAGATATTTATGATCATGCTGCATTTTCTTAAAATACCATGCTTACAGTAGGTCAAAGCATAAGCAAGACATGACTATGTGCACTCCCAGGAAAAAGCTGAATAGTGTAAAATATAGAAATACAAATGGATAAACAGCTGTTTGGGCCCTCATCCAGGAAAAAGTCCCTATTTAGGAAGGGCCATTAAGCATATGCTTAAGACTGCTGACTTCAAAGGAGTTCAGTCAACTTCTCATAATTGGTTTCCTGCACATTATTCTGAACAGTGCCCGTTCTCAGTGCTCTGCGTGGAGCTCGCAGGGGCCATGCTGATCTGGCAGTCCTCCCTCTCCTCCCCCCATTCCCATTTTAGGCTCCAGTACTTAGCAGAATAGTTTCCTAAGATGAGCCATAACTACTGGCCTGTCTGGCACGTCTGCATAGGATCAAGCCTATTAAAGTAGCCCTCCAAACCCAACAGTGAGGTTTGTAATGCACTGCTGGGTGCAGGAGGGAGCTTCATTCCAGCACGTGGAGCAGCTCTCAGTGCTCAGGGAATCCTGAATGCCTCACTCTGCCTTGCCTTGTTTAAACTAAGAACAGGGAGAGTTTCACCTCTCCAAAAATGAAGGAACAAAAATTGCCAGAAGGAGTATGGAACCTGCTGCACACAGTTGCTGAACTGACTGAGAAGCTGCCAGATGGCTTTGCAATCTTCCCCTCCTGCACCACAAAGGCAGGTCCCACCCAGAGGGGATACCCATAGGAAGAAACCTGGGAAGTCCCTGGGCAACAGGCACCACATGAGATGAGGACAGGTGCCATCAGTGAAGCCAGAGGCAAGATCTAGAGTATGGCTCAGGAGGACAAAGCCCACACGAGGCCACCCAGTGCCATCAGGCTCAGGTCACCACCCCACAGCAGGAGAGCTGCAGGACTGGGCAGGGAGGAGGGAAGATTAAACCCCAGCACAGCCACAGCCTGTCCTAAATCCCTGCAGAAGCAGCGCTGCAGCACTGAGAGCTCCACCTCCTGCCCGAACCCACGTGAACTCCCCAGAACCCACACGAGTGTCCCAGTTTGTCACTCACAGCTCAGTGCCAGCAGCCCCGCGTCCGTCACCGGCGTCTCGCACAGGTTGAGCACTTGCAGCATGGTGAGGTGCTCGGACAGGAGCCGCAGCCCCGCGTCGCCAAACTGTGGGGCACAAGCACAGCTGGGTCACACCTGGCACCCACACCTGGGCAAGAAGCTCAGTGCAAACAGGGCTGGGGAAAAGGGGCTCCTCCAAGCCACGCTGCCATGGCCCATGACAGCAGAGAAAGCAAATAGTTCTATCCCTGTCTCACAGGCAGGGAACAGAGAAATTAAGTGACTTGTGTGCACTTAACCACAGGCCATCACTTAATTAGACTGGTGCCTTTGAAGCCTGAACTTTGTACGAGCAGGCTCCCACCCAGGCTATACACGATGGTTATGGCAGCCTCAGCCAGTTCCCAACCACATCACACAAAAAAAAGCACAATGCAAGTGGTATTAATTAGCTATTTTGGTCTCAAGAACAATGCACTATTGATTGGCAATTGTTCTATTGACCCACTTGGTTTCTGCTGTTTCTAAATTCTAGATTAATGGAAACCAGGATATCGCAAAAGAAAATGGAGACTAAACAATTTTTTTTAAATAAAAAGAAACCCCACACAAAAAGCAGGCTCTTTGTTCAGTGAAATCAGACTCATTTTGAACAAGAAGCACGATAGTTTTTCAAATGCAAAAGTTACATTGTTAAGACAAATCTGGAGGAGATACAAACAGGCTTAAAACAAGTGAGCAATCAGTTTCTACTTCATAATCCCCATACAAAATAAAAGGGTATTTCTGGGATACAAAGTAGTTAGGAAAACCAAACAAAATATTTACATGACACTCTGGTTAAAAAAATGCTGCTTTTTGTGGTGGCACTGACAATAATCGTATTTTCAGAGAGCACTGCAAATAGGTGCTAACAGAAAATGGGGAAAACCTATTCAATGGAGAAGCTCAGACAGCAAAACCAGCAGCGAAACACAAAAGAAAAATTTAATTTTAGAAGTTCCTTCAATCAACAGCAAAATAATTCATTCAGTTAACCTGGGTCTTTTTTTGCTTACAAAAAAAAAAAATAAAAAAAAATCACATTCTCATTATCATTTCCTTCTGCTTATTCATTATCTGAGTTTCTTTTTGTTGCTGTTGGGTTGATCAGCTTTCAAGCAATTCACTGCCTAAACTGGCCAGACTCTGTGCTTTGCTTGACCACATGAGGTGCAGAACATCATTTTTTCATCCTAACTGGGTGAAAGCAGGAGCATTTCCCAGATGAACAGCAGCACAGGTTCTACTCAGTACACAGTAGCAACCATGGCCAACTGAACATTTAACCCTAGACAGCAGCAACACTTTTATAATAAAAAAATAAAACAAAAATTAAAAATTGGAGGGAAAAGAAGGGGTGAAGAGAAAAAAATCAGCTGCCAAGATGAGCTAAACCACAGGAAGGCCCTGTAAAAATAGCAGGAGAACAAAGTCATCTAAGCAAGCCTCTTCACACACTCTTCCTGTGCTGACGTAGTGTGGAATTTCAGAATTAGTCAGAACTGGTTCCTGCTCTGGGCTCAGGCTGCAGAGCACTTACCTGAGTTGACCACAGGTTCAGCTGCTTGAGCGAAGGCAGTTTGATGAGGTGCTCAGCACAAGCACTTGTCACATTGGTAAAGGCCAGGCTGAGGTTTTCCAGATTCCCAAAAGATCCCGAGCTGAGCAGGCGGGCCAGGTCTGCATCCTGAAAGCAGACAGGAGCTGGGTAAGGGACATGTGGGTGCCCAGCCTGGAAGTGTGTGGTGTCACCCATACTGGTAACCAGAGCGAGTTGCACAACTGCTCCACTTGTTTACAGTAACACAGAACCACACACAGAAGTTTCTGTTTGTTTGGCAAGCAGCTGGGCTCTTGTGGCAGCGTTGCTTCACACACCCTGGGAAAAATTTGTCCAAACATCAGGACAAAAATGTCCTTTGCGTGTGTATCCTTATGAGACACAAAGGCTTCAGTGTCAGAGCAAACGCTGAAGATGGGTCTTTAAACATTATGAAGATTTAACCCCGAGGTCCAGGTCCAGCTGTGCTCAGCACCATCACCTGATCACAGTAAAGTCAGTCTGGGTCTACATCAGGCTTAAATGCAATAGTGCTGGTTGTCTTTGAGACTTCCATGACTAAACTCTAGAACTGGACACTGTAAACTTTGCCTTTGTAATGCAAAACTCTGTCCCCAGAGCTGCCATTCCAAATCTGAGCAGCACTATAAATGTGACAGCCTGCTGCTGGTGTTGGAAACTGCTGCACAGACCCAAGAGCAGAAATGTGCCCTTAGTTGTGTGAACTCCAGTTGTGTTGACAGAGCAAGTGGAATGGCTCCCCACTCCACTGCCCAAAACCACTGTGCCACATGGCAAACATAAATCAAGTGTTTAAATATGGAAAGACAAAGCTTGTTTTTCTATTGACATGATTAACTTACTGTGGACTTGGATGGCAGTGTTAACCTTGTGGGGCCACCTTTTCTTTGCTGTAAAAGAGAAGATATTTTGGTCAAACAAACTGCCACTCTACATTTCAGACTCACTGAAGTACAGCAAGCTCCTCACCAGCACAAACCCTGCTCCCATTTCAAAGCCTCCACCTCATCCCTGCTTTCCCTACACTGAGTGTGCCTGTTGCTCCCCAGGGGACACCCACTAACCACGGTTAAGTGGCTCTTCGTGCCATTTGCTTCAGCCTGCCAGCATTTGGCTACTTTCACTTTAAAGGAAACAGCTTTAAAATGCTGGGCAAAGTGAGCAAAGCGGTTAAGAGGGTGCAGCTGATAAAATCATTTGCTTGACTTCAAAAAAACCATCTACTTTTCAGGCTGGGAGAAGGGGCTAAAGACAAATATAAATGTGAAAGAGGGAAGAGGAAGTTTGTGGGTATGTTTGCATAGGTGTAAAAGTGCTAATGCGAGCAGGTCCATTTTAAATCTCTAGGTCCTCTCTTTAAAATCAGGAAGAATCTTTTTCTATAGGCTCTAGCTCTGAGAATTAGACCTAAAGACCATCTCAGTGAAATGCTGTGAATGTCAGAGCATTCAGAAATGCTGGCCAGCACCAGAACCATTTGCTACTCATATGTCAAAAGGTGGCAGAATTTGACAAGCTGACTTGCAAGATCTTGAGACAGCAGGGTTTCACCTTTATTCCTTCATACAGATCCTAAGCAGGTTATTGAATATCATTCATAAACATAGTATGGGATTAGTCACATCAGTAAATATCACACAGTATATATATTCACAGTAAAATCCTCTGAGGACTGCTCCCATCCTGTTGTTAACTGGGAATTTCACACCCGGCTTGTCTTTCTTTTGTACCTCCATTTGTGGAGAGCTCAGAGCCCAGTGTGCTATGGCAATATGTGCAGGGTGACATACCAGCTCCTTTAACTCCCTCTGCCTCTCACACAGCTGTTCATACATTCTCTTTCCCACGTCTGTGCTTTCCAGGGTGGAGATGATCTGGAGCTGAGTGTCATTATTGTCAATGATGTTGTATTCCAGCATCAAACACAAAATCTAGCAGCAGAACAAAAGGAGGGTGGTCAGTGCAGGGCTTTCATTCAATTTCTTTCAAATATCCTAATTACATTGGGCATGGTGGTTTAAATTCCTGGGTAATTTTTTAGAGCATGTATTATGGAGTTTAGATTAGAGGATATCATAGCAATATTTATGGCCCTTCCAACACACTAAATTAATTTTTTATTTGTAAAGAATGAAGTGTAACCTCCAAAAGCCAGCCTGTCTATCCTGCTCCCATTACTGCTCACTCCTTCTGACTGAGAGGTGCAATTATTTGCATCAGGCCTGGGAGATGGCTCCATGCCACAGCCCTCTCCAGAACAGGTACAGTCAATCCAGCATTTCCCAGGTCCACAGGCTGGGCTGGGCATTGGAAGAGCTGGGGCACTGCACACCAGCAGTAGCAGAGCCAAGCAGCTCCTTAAGGGCTGAATTTTCCATCCCTAGGTGCTGGGGTTTCTGTGCAAGCAGAACACGTGTGAGGAGCACCCAGACCACGAGGCAGGATGGGTAAAGGGCAGAGAGGCTCCAGGAGAGGATGCTGGGCTGTGTGGCAAGGACATCCCCCAGCTCACTGGGAACACATCCAGCTCACCCTGGGGAAGGGACTGCCAGGAGCAAGTCAGATCCCAAGGGATGATTCCAGTAGGTCACACAGATTTAGGACAGAAGCTGCCCCTCCACGCTGCTTTTCCTTTTCAGCTATGTACCATGCCATTGCAATTAAAATGCAAAGCTTTTATTCCCTCCACAATTTCAATTATTTTTAATGAATAATAAAAAAAAAACCAACCCAGCAATATTATATTCATATGCATGCAGCATGCTCCTTTATTTACTGGATTAAATTACCATGCACAAATCTAAGTCAATGAAAAACTCTAACTCCTTCCATCTATTTATCCACTCTTTCTGCTGATACTGACACTTATCAAGAAACTTCTCTTAAGAAACTCAGAAAAATACATATAAAATATTAGCACAACAAAAATAACAAATCATAAGCATAAAACATGTGTATTAATACAAGCAAATGAGGTTTCATAAAGGCACTTCCTGTGCACTGCTCATCTTGCAGGTGGCAAGACAAGATTCATTTCATCATGGAAAAGCCTTGTGGTTGTGAATTGTGATCTCTCACCACAGCCTACACCACCATGGCCATTTATTTCCCATCCTAATCCCTCCAGCTGCATTTACAGCAAACATTCTTTCTCCAAAAATTCATGCACCCACCTTTCATTTAATTCACACTCATATCTACAGTACAGTAATCTGTTCCTCTTAATTCAGAGAAACACAACCACCCACTGCTGGCGTGTGACACAACACAAACCTGACCCCTGCTAGAGCCACTTCTGGGAAAGGCATGTGAACCTGAACACTGCTCATAAACCTCTATGGCCACATGTTTTTAGGACTTACCTCTACCATTGTCTGGTTACCCCTCAAAGCCAGCAGCATGCAAGGCCCCAATTTATTTTCAGCCAGTGAAAGTAGGAACTTCTTTGTTTTATAGCAGGATCCCATCAAAATATGAACCTGTTCAAGAAACAGAAGTAAAATTAGGGGTGTAGGCCTAAGAAACACATATACCTCTAGAAAGGCTGCTGTTAAACAGTCCAAAAGTTTTAAGTATTTGCAATAAACCTAAATGAATGAAGGCTCTCTTTACAGTTAGGGTTGCAGTGTCTCAACAGCTTTACTGCTGAATGGAAGAGACTTTTTGAAGGTGGTGATGCCCAGTGAGATCTGAGGGAGTGGGAAGTTTTTCTTCCATAAAGGATCCCAGCTGACAGCCTGATAAAGGCTCCCCAGGAAACATCAGAGCAGCTGTGCAATTGCCCCCATGCCCAGTAACCTGATGAGCCCAGCCCCAGGGAAACCACCGGGGATTTTGCTTTTGCATCTGTTTGCACTTGGGTTTCTCTGGAAATGGCAGCTGGGGAGCAGGGGCTGTGTGGGCTGGGTGTCTAGGTAAAATGCAACCTGCTGGCCTTGGTTAAGGGGTGGTGACAGACAAAATCACCTGTCCAGGATGAACAGACAGGACCTGACTGGGGAAGGAAAGACTGCTTTAAGAAATCTGGCAGTCCTGAGCACTAAGTCAGAGATAACTTCATGGGTTTTCATGCTCTTGGGCCACTATCCTGCTTTCTCTTTGGCTCAGTTTTCCCTGAAAGGAAAGAACTGCTGAGAACATCCTCTGAGTGACATTTCTTCAAGTCCTTGAGCTGACAAAACTGTTCTGCAGACTCTCTGAAAGCTCCAGAAAGAACCATGTGATATCACATAGTAATGCCTATGGCAGAAATGCAAAGCCACTTGTACAAATCAAACATGTCTCTTCTCAGAAAAGAACTTGGTCATAATATTTCCAGTGTAAAAGCCTTAGAGATTAAAAGCAGGGAAGCCTGGGTTCCTAGAAGAAAGTCTTATTTCATAGCCCAGATGGCTGATTCACCATTTGCTGCAGAGCACTACGTGAGAATTTGCATTTTGCAAGAGCCCAGGCAGGAAGAGCTCCATTATGTGGACTCAACATCAGCACTACCCTACAATAACCTTGTAAATACATTCTGTGGCCCCCCTGGCTCATGGCATTGCCTGCACTATGTTCAATACTGCTGAAAATATCACAACCATGCCATGATGAGGTCAATTCTATATGAATCATGGCTTAATTATCAGCAAGCTCTTTAGAAAAACAGATTTTTTTTTTCCTTAAGCATCCATCAGCTCAGGTGGCCTTTAAAAATGTGAACCTCCAAGCCAAAAGGGATTTAATTTCATGCAGTTTTCATTAAGTTTTTTTGGAGGTTTTCTTGAGCAATGGAAAATACTGACACTGACAGTAAAGTAACATTAGGTGCATCTCAGAACAGGGTGTTTTTCCAACTTTATGGTTAGTCGTTAGCAGCTCTTTAAGTATTTATCAACATCCTTGCAAAGGGCACAGAGAACTGCATATTAATGTGTGTTAGCATTGTGCTTTCTCATGCACACCATCTCCTGATGCTCATAAATATCTTCAACCACAATGGCTCTCAGGAGAAATTATACAGTTCTGAAGAAATTTTCTTTTCAAAGACAAAAGACAGATGAACAGTAAAGAGGGGTGAAACCTTTTGTAAACACTCTTCTTCTGTTATCAGTTTCAGAGGTATCTGATCCATCTGAATTCAATGGTACAGACAGACATCTATGTTCTTTATGTCCCAAAATGTTCAGCATGTGGGAGATGCACGAAGTGTTGAAAGTCACTTGACTATGTACCCAAAGCCAACTTCAACAAATGTTTTCCCCTCTTACCAGGGAAAAGCAGTATTATCATTTCCATCTTCCTTGGTATATGGAGAATTAATACAGAGAGAGACCTACGTGACTTGACCCAGGAAGACAGTGCTTAAATCACATCACTGATTAAAACTGTTATTTTCTGTCTAGCCCTTCTCAGAGTTACAAAAGAAGTAACTGCTGGAAATGGAATGCTGGTTTCTAATTACACCTCTTCACAACAATGTAATTGGGCACAGACACTGATAACACCTTTTTATATCTATCCATCCACCCTTTGATTAAACCAATGTAACTGTTGGTTTTAAATTCCAGAGTAGCCTAAAAATGTAAACTATAGGTGAGGATGTACAGAACAGTCTGTCTCCCAGTATTCCATGTTCCCTCAGAGAATTTTTTATACAGACAGACAAAGACAGGAGTTTATAAATACAGAAATACATACATATGCACAAGCATGGTTTGTGTATTACACTACCAGTGAGAAAACATGCCAAGGTTCAAAAAGAGAACAGTAATGTGCTAACCAAACTGTGACTGCAAGGGAGTTGATGGATTTGGTGGCAGAAAGATCTGGATTTTTTAACAGTCATAGTTAACAAAATGGTGATTTTGATAATATATTTTGTGACAAAAACAAGTAAATCTTGTTACTGCCAACTAGGCATTAGTTACTTATTGCAGAGAAGTTTCTAAACTCACATTACTGCAGACACCTACCATACTGGCAAAGAGCTCTCCATCATCATCACAGGCCACTCCCCCAGGGCTGTAGAGCTGGAACCAGCCGTCTTTGCCAGCCCTCACACTCAGCAAACACGAGTGGACCTGCCAAGAAGGGAACACATTGGGGAGGTTACAGTTCCTGCCAATAACCACCAGCATCCCCCACACAGGGCCAAAAGCAACTGCAAAGCCAAGGACTGCTGGAAATTTCATGGTTAATATTCCAATCTACAGAGCTGCAGGCCAGTCTCCACTCCCAGAATCCAGATTTTCAGTATAACCAAGAGGGAAGCTGCATCATCTCTTATTGCATGGCCTTTTTCATTCCCTTCACACAAATCAAACACAAAATGGCTCTAATCTAGAACAGCTCCTTTCACTTGGAAAAAAACCCACCACCTAAAAACCAAACAAAAACCCCCCACAAATTTCTCAGCTTCTACCATTTTCCCCCTGTCCTCCCAGCATGTATATGTATCTGATGTGATCTGCATACCAAATGTAGTGGCTGATGGCTTGCTCATTCCAATCATTAAAAATTCTTATTACTCCAGCTCTAATAAAATTTGACCAGAGTCAGGGTGAAGGAAATCCACAGGGAAAACTCAACAGGGATACAGAACACGGAAGCTGCACTGGAGAACTGGCACCAATGAGCAACCATTAGTCTAAATTTGGCCCACTGCAGAGATTACTATATTTAGTCCCACAATTTAATAGAGAAGTCATAATTAAGCTTTATTTTTTTCCTTTTATTATTTTTTTCTTTCACTTGAAGAAACAGATGTTCCATTTCCATTTTTGAGGTGTGTTTGTGTGGGGGAGGTAAATTCTTTCCTTTGGGCACAGAACACTAGTGATAGATGAAATCCTAGTGCCATTCTAGGGTAAGGTGTTCTCTTCTGACAAGGATAACTAGTGCTAACAAGAGCTAAATCCACGAAAACGAGGAGTTCTGGGCAGTGATGATACAGCTTCACCCACAGTTTGAGGGAGCTTTCTTGCCTTTGTGCCAAAAGCAAGAATCACTGAGGTTCCCTCTGACTCAGCCAAAGCTGATGATGCTGAGCAGGCTCTGAGTGCAGCTCTGAGGCAGCAGCAACACTCTCACCCCAGTAACACACCTCCCACCCCTCTTCTGCTGCCAATTCATGAGAATTACGGTCATTTGCACACAACATAGCTGAAACACAGCTACATAAAACCTGTTATTTTGGAAGCTGGGTGGATCCAGGGATTTTGGTTCCATTTATTTTTGTACAGAAGATGAAAAGCTCGGAGTGATCCCACAGAGGGGGAAAATCTTGCTGGTTGCAGTTTACTGCAGAACAAGGACATCAACTGATGCCAGATAAGGAGGTGACAACACAAACCTTACTCATAAACCACCCTGAGTGGCCACTACTCCTTAGAGACTTAGGCAGAGTAAAACCACACCGTGTTTTGGAACAAACTACTTAAGGAGAGATTTGAACAAGTGCACTTGCAATCCCTCCAACTAATACTCTGTGTAAACTGCCAACAAACTCACTTCTTGCCTCGGGTCTTCTGCAAATCTCTGAATCACATATTTCAGCTCCCTGAAAAAAATAAGAGTAAGAAGGACAAGAATAAGCAGTTGCTGGTTGCAGTATTCGCACAAGTATCAACTCTTCTGAATAACACCTAAAATTATATATATTAATGCAATTTGGAGAGAAACAAGTTGAACTCCTTCCACAGAAAGGAAATATGATGACTAAAAGTGATTACTAAGGACAGTGTCTCTTCACAATTGCCTAGAAAATATTTCAGAGATGTGCACTGACAAACTCCTTTGTAAATTCTATCAGCACCCAGTGGCTTTAGTCCTTGGGATCCTGCTAGCACAATAAATTACAAAGAAAACTTTTTATTGCTAACAGAACATGCCTACAGCCCTTGACAGATAAAAGCCATTAGAGACACAATACTGAATAATGCATCATTGCTATTATTGACTAGTACAAGCATTTATTCAATAAAACAAAGGAGCCCCAGAAACTTACTTTGTGAATTTCTCGTGTGCCAGAGCCCTGAAATTTAAAACAGAAAACAGAAGAGTATGAGGATCTGAGAGAAATGAGAGACGCAAAAAGAAAAGCCCAAAAAACCAAACAAGCACGTTTCAGTTCTTTCCAGATAATAAAAGGACTTGCTAAGCAACTGCAGGACATAAGACAAAAAAATCAGATAAAGCCTCTTTCATTAACCTAGAGGGGAAAATTACTTGGAAAAAATCTTGTCGCTTTTCTTGAGTCTGTCTTAGACAAGGCTTTGACTAACCTTAGTGGGAGCTTTGGGTCAGAAGAAAGTAAAAGGCTTACAATACCATTACATAATTACAAACAGAGTTTTGCCTACCTCCAAGAGCCAGGTGTATTCTTTAATTGCAGTGCAATTAGGGTATGGTCGCAGCTAATTAGCATCATACATCAGTAAAGCAATTAATGGTCATTTTGTGAAGTGCCTTGCATCATGGTATGGTTTACAGCTCCCCCAAGACTCACGTTTGACTCAGGTAATGATGTCTCTGTTACCTATCTCCAAGCTCTCACTGTAGCCCAGGTAACCTGGCATGGAGGATTAGACCTCTGTGATTCAAGACATCAGGTCATTAGGGGATGTGATAAGGCAGCAAATTGTACAATTACAGATTGTAATTTTTGTCCATGGAGGTCTGCACTTTATAAACACCACTGTTCATTAATAGGTTTCTGAGGGAGCTTGGCTGATCCATAGGGCAGCTTCTTCATTTAGTGCAAAATACAAATGACAGGAGTCTCTGTGACGCCAGTAAATCATCCTCCTCCACTAAATTTCTCACTTTGCTCTCCTCCTCACCAGCTTTCCTTCCCTTCCTGTCTGCCTGTCTCTAGTTAACCATATTTCTTTTCAGGATCATCTGAGAGAAATGGGGAAGGAAGTTGAACATGGGGAGGTCTTCACATCCCTCTGCATCAGCCAAAATCAACTTCAGTTTCTAAATCAATACTAGACGGACAAAGCTCCTATTACCATCACTTCTTACTTGACGTATATTTCACCATAAAAAAAAACAGTCACAAGCACAAGCCAGAAAATACTAAGAGTGCAAACTCACTCCTTGGGAAATGGGATAGGTTGAAGCAAGCTGGCCAGGGCTGGTCTCCAGTCATCGTAGTCTGACCTGCAAAATGAACATTTTGTTAATAGGTTACCAGGTTTTAAGTATGGTTTGCCAACAATTAGTTCAAGGAGTTAAAAGCTTTTTACTGTGGGCACCAACAACCCTTCTGGTTTACTGAAGCACTCTCAAAATCTACACTGACATTTCCCTTTCCATTTTCAGCATATTCTCCATTGAGGCACAGTAAATCTGGTATTTACAGTGACCTCCAGAGAGGCCTTCTTTATGTCAACTTAAAGACATTTGCTGTTTATGAAACCTGTTGACATTTAATCACTAAGCAATACTTTCATCTAAGCTGGTAGAGCAATTACCAGGCCACTGCTATTTAAAGCTCTTCTTTACATTTAACTGGAAATTTTCTTTGCTCTAAGACATAAGCCCATTTGTAAAAACAAAGATACTCCCAAATCCATTTCTGACACAAAACCCACCAGAAAAGCTCAGACCCTGGCTCTCAGCCCCATTAGTAACAATGAGTACGCACAGAAGTGAATCTCATATGGGCTGAAACACCTGGGGATGTCTGTAGAAACAACCTAGAAGAGCCTGCCACCTCCTCTTAGTGCTGCTACCTTTTGGATTTCAGTGTTAAAAACCTGAGTATTGGCTGCAGCTTACTGGAAACTTGGCACAGAAGTGTGGTGTGTCTTTGGGAAGGAACGAAGTGTAATGTTCTCAAATGGACAGTATCTACTGATAGCATTACAGACAGACAACATATGCACAGGAACTGTTCCAAAAGAATGCAGTTTTGCAAAGGGAAAGCTCTAGCTCAGAGAAATTGAAGATGGATGCATTTCCAAAAGTGTCGCCCATCTTTTGAACCACATAAAACAGAAATGTCCATAAACTAGTAACACACATGAAGTTGCACCATCCACAAAGATGTGCTCACAGAAGAAGAAAATTTAAATGCATGAGCAGGGTACTCCTAAGAAGCAACCTGCAGAGAAGTTTTACTTGATATAAAAATCAACCAGGGAAGCAGTTATCACTTGCCCAAGAGCAGTATGAGCTCAGGTTACACAAATGTGTGATATGTCATGCAAGCAACCAACCCATGAGAACCACTGTGACCTGAAAGCACTCTAGTGTAGTAAAAACCAGGAGAGCACATGTGAAGTTACAGTAATCCAAAAAAGAAACCCTGTGCCCATGCCAATTGTGCTAGAAGCCAGTGAACCTAATTTTCTCCTCCATGAGAAATTCTGTTCTCAGGTCTGACCTAGGGGAATTCTGAGACAAAGGGTGTCTCACAAACCTAAAGTGAGTGTGAGTCAGCAGCAGCAACAGCACTTTGTGATCACCTATTCATAAGGTTCTTTCCAGAGACAAAAAGTCCCTCACCTGCTTAGCCACTGAACAAATAAGGAAGATGATCAACTCTGTTTATTGTCTCAGAACAGTAAGACATGAAGCAGGACTTCATTACAGGGGTTGTTTTTCCATTTAGTCAGTGTAAAGTGAGATCATGACACACCTGAGGATGGGGCTTGTCATATAAATAAGGCAAGGAAACCTCTGACACAGCATCTCTAAGATGAGCTTTCTGGGTTCAAAGCTTTGATTAACTGAAGTTATCTACAAGATCATGCATTGTTTCTGACCTGTAGACACACTGAATGGGTCGGTGACACAAAACTCTGGCCTGTGTTCAGGTTCAGCTGGAAGTCTCTTGTTTAAATACCAGGTCTCTGTAGGAGAGAGCTGATGCAACGTAGCTCTATCTATACCTGCAGCCCTGAGAAGTGCCACAGGTCTCACTACACAGTCTGGGTCTCACCACATTTGTTAGGTGTGAGAACATAGTCCAGATATTTTATTTTCCTAGCTAATTTTATTCTAAAAACAACGTATTTTTATTGGTAGATACAAACAACTCTAAAAGCCGATTTTTGAGCAGGGAAGACTCGAAAGTCAAAATGCTGAGTTGGAAAATTCAGAGGTGTTAAAGGTTCATATCACATGAGAAACATCACCTCCAAATATTTTCTAACAGAACGTTAAAAACTGAGACTTGCTTTGAGACTTAGCTCCTGTGACATCTCAGGCTAAATGTTACACCACTGAAGTTCCTTCTTGAGCAATCTGGAGAGTTGTGATTACTAATAATACGAACCAATCAATTTTTCATGGCTGAGCTTCAAAAGAAATTGCAAGAGTAAGAAAAAAGTTGTTTTGTAATAGAATGAAACTGCAGACAGAATGGGACAGTATCACTCTGACTTTTCTCAAAGCTGAGGAGCAGGACAGGTCTGTGAGAGGGCAATGAAAATAAATCAGTCTGCTTCCCCAGAAGGAGAAGGAAGAAAGAAAGGAAGGAAGGAAGGAAGGAAGGAAGGAAGGAAGGAAGGAAGGAAGGAAGGAAACCATCTCCTATTGAAATATATAAAATTTGGTCACGTAAGTAGGACCTGAACATAAAATCTGCAGTCTGTAATCCCTTCAATGTGAGCTAGGAAACATGAAACAAACACAGCACAAGAATAAAACTAAACTACTTATTAAAAGCCTACGGTGTTTCTCCTCCTCCCACCTATTCCCTTTTCAAAAACATTTTCCTTCTGTCTGTGCTCATCTCATCTGCACTCTTCTTTCATTTCAGACAGTTGCTTTCTTCTTTTTTTTTCATTTTTTTTTTCCTCAGTCCATTCAAAGCTCCAACACAAGACAGAAGTGTTTGAAGCAGGGAAAGAAAGGGAGATGGATTAGTTCTGGCTGCAGTTAACAACCACTGCAATGAGCCAGACAAAGAGGCTGGGCCAGGAGAAGGAGGGAGCACAGAGCTGCAGGGAGATCCTGGGACAGCGCTGTGACAAACTCCCTTCCCAGCTCTTCAAAGGGCACTGGGCTCAACACTCATCACACAGCTCAAATCCCAGAACTGGCAGTATAAAAGGGGGAGAACAATTCCCTGGCTCTGATTTTTTGCAGGATTTGCAATTCCAGGTGAGCAGCACAGCAGCCAGGCTGCAGCCCGACCTGTGGGTTCCATGGGGGTCACGGAGCCAGGTGGTGACAGATCAGAGCCATCACCTGCCACTGCACACAGCCTCCCTCACCCTGAAACCTGTCCTAGGGGACTGGCCAGGCCACAGAACAACCATATTAATTAAATAATCCCCGAATGCAGTGACTTTGCCTCTGGGCCATCATCGCTCTTGGCCTGCCAACATAATACATTTTCCTTCCCCGGGATCACCTTTCACCAAAATGAAAACCTGCCCGCATGTCATGTGCAGCACAAACAATCCAAAACATACGAGCAGCCCAGGGCAACCTCGATAAACATGACACAGGATAATCCACTTGGGATATTCAGAGCATGCCACTGACCTATTGGGGAATGCAGAGCAGCCAGGGGAAGCTCCAGTGGGTGCTTGTGTTTGGAAAGCTGCGGTTCTCATCTTTTGAGACACTGCAAGCCCCAAGTCCTCAGGTTTTGGAGGATAATGAAGAGACAAGAGCAGCTACTCAGAAGCAGCTTTCTCCAGACTGAGCAGATTGACAAGGTAACCTCTGTTGTCAGATCATAATATGACCATACCCCCAGACATGTCTTTCCCTGGCTCTAGGTTCAACTCCCTGAATTGTATGATGTAAGGTTTAGCTCAGGGCGCCAGGGCAAGCTCAGAAAAAGCCTCATGAGACCTCTTGTCAATACAAGGCACAAAGCTGCTATTTGCAAAACAGTGAGGTGCCTTTTCATGCTCAGTCTTCTTTTGAGAAAGGCTTGTTTGTTTGGCTTTTTCGAAAGAAGAAAATTTAGCACCAGTGAAAGACCCTAGAAAGGTTCTGCCCTGACTGCTGGGAACAGAAATGGGCTCCACTGCTTACAGATGGCATGGAAGCATCAGGAAACAGCAACACAAAGTTGCCCAAAGCCGGTTGTGACACTGGTCCCAGAGAGGGGTACAAGTGTCTGGACGTCTGGACAGACCCTTGCCACTACAGGGAGCCATGGAAACCAAAAATAACACAAAGGGTAACAGCTTATGGTACAACACCAACAGAGCTGCCCCAAGAGGGGTCTGTTCTCACAACCAGCTGACCTGGCTATTTGCTGACCCAGATTTCATTGCAGAGACAGTTTAAGTGTCTCCCCACCCTCTGGATCCAGTGGGGTGCCTCAGGTGAAAGAAAACTTTGAAGTTCTCCAGCCCAAGGAGTGGACACATGGCCCCTTCTATTGCAACCTTCTCTAGCCCTGGTTGTCCTGTTCAAGCACAAGTTGGGCTGTACAAGACATTCCCAAATGCATGGAAACATTAATATGCAATTAGGAGCTGGGCAATGCTGAGCTGTTCTCAGAGCCCCTAATTTAATATGATGAACAGAACTTTTTCAATGAAATTAGTGCATTTTCTACACACCAATTTAAGACTTGTAGCATTCAGGAGGCATTGGCTGGTGTCAGTAACTCACTATCAGAGTCCAGAATGAGTTACACAATATTGACACAGAAGTTTGATCCACTTTAGAGTGCAGGACCAAAATACTGTGTTACCCTAGAGACTGCATCTCCTTTAAAATCTGCCCAGACTTTGGGTCATCTGCCAACATCTTTAAAATCATGACTTTCTATTTTCCTTCTGTAGGCAATAGTTGTGTTTTGTTACTCAACTACATTAGAAAAAGGGTCAAAGATGTTCTAGGTGCTGGAAGAGCCCCATCGACGAACTTTCTAAACTGCCCTTTTAGCTTTCTGTGCAAAAAGTGAAGTATTACAGTGATTGGTAAATAACATCTTCATCAACATTAGAAGTGAGTGTTTCCTCCAAAAAGTAAGCACTGTGTAAGAGTTAGGTGAACAATAAAATGTCCTCTGTTGAAGCTACTGTTGAGAATTCTTATTTGCTAGACTTCCAATAATTAAAATTTGCCTAAATAAATTACTCCCTGCTGCCCTAAGTTAATTATGTAAAAAAGATATCATCACTGGTGACTCTCTTGTTTTGATGATGATACTGAGTCAAACACCTAAAAGAACAATCAAACTCAATGCTAAGCAACTTATTTATGTTTGGCTTACCACTGTTATTAATAAGAACATTATTTCACTGAATTCCTGCTGAGAGCTCAGCTCCTGGATAGCAGTTGTTTTATAATTAATGTTGTCTTCCTACTGGCATGTTCTTCTACTCTCTTTCTTCATGTTCTCGGATTCTTAAAGTACAGTAATAGCATTTCATGCAACAGAAACCCTTTGTTCAAGAAGAGTTAGAGCAGGAAAGTAATCAGCATCACAACAGCATTATCTTGTATTTTTGGTAATAACTACAAACCCTTCTAGAATGCTTTTCCATCACTGGTTTCAGCCTTTAAAAAACAACATTGCAAATCTTTACCTGTATTTTACAAATAAGGAAAATGAGGCATTTAAAAGTGACTTATCTAAAACCCCCCAGTGAGCCAGTAGCAGAATCAGGAGCAGGTTCTGCATTACTGCTTTCAGGCACCCAAAAAAAAAAATCAAGAGACAAAGAGGAATGGAAGAGAACTCAAATGAGTGGAGCTAGAGCCACGGCTCTGCCTTAGGAGCTGCCCTATATTCTCACAGGCTGTGGTTTCCCAAGCAGGCTGTGCAGGGCACTGTGAGGAGAGCTGCACCAGTTTTGTGCCGTCACTGGTCTCCCACTGTGCACATCCTGTGGGTTTCACCTTTCAGAACTCCTGTTGTACAACCAGAAAAAGGGCCCAAAGCTGCCCCACACCTACAACACCTCTAACAGTAACACATTCCCATTTTCATTGCTGCTGCTGAACAACTTGATTTTTCAAGACAGGAAACGCATCAACAAAATAGATTATTTTAAGGTATGGAGTGAAATGAGCTCTTTGTGTAGCAAATTAAATGGAAATTAGGACCTGGCATATCAAATGTTTAAAAGTAGAGAGACTGTGAGGATGAACATGCCCATTTGTGAATTTGTTTATAAGTGTGTGTCAGCTGCATGATGAAACCAAAACCGTCAATGCTTAGTGAGTCAGCATCCAAACCAGCATCAGGACTGGGAGAGTGCTCAGTGTTTATGGAAAACAGGGAGAGTCAAGGGGACAGGAATAAATACACGACGTGTTTAATGTAGCACCTGGGTGCGTGGAGACTTAGAAGCAAACTCATGCTGCGCTTTTTTAACGCAAACATTTTTAAAGGCAGAAGAACCTAGGCCACAGGGAAAAAAAATATTCAAAATTAGCCTTCACAGCAACTTCCTGCTCAGGAATCTAATGGGAACAGTATCTGGTACTCAGTTGTCCTGTCTCCAGTTTTGAATGAGTGCTTAAATAATTGCGAGTCAGCTGTGCAGTAAGTGGAAGAGTACAACTGCAAATATGTACTATGTATTTTGAAAAAAAATAAAAATGTGGGACAAAACCTTCACAAAATCTTCCATCACAGCAGTTTGACTTCATTTTATTCCTTGAGAGTGTACCCCCAGACGTGCATATGTCTGCAGTCAAATGTAGGCACTTGCTCATGGTTCACAGCAGAGTCCAGATTTCACCCACCATGCCTTAGATTCTAAAAAGTTCAACTACGACTTCATTAAGTCTTACACCATTTAAAAATAATTAATGTAGATATTTAACAGTTAGCCACAAAACATACTGTGACTCAGTATCAGAGCTAGCTGTCAAAGCTAACAAAGTTGTTTTACTGCACTTCTATTACCAGCTCCCATTCTGCACTCCAACCTTTCTGTTCTTTCTTTTCATTTACTCATCCTGAGAAAACCAAGTTTTTCCTGAAGAACATTTTCCCTTATACTCCCGTTTAAGATATTTGGATTATTTGTCTGCCAAGAATCACCTTGCCACCATTTTGTGGTAAAGACTATTTGAACACCTGATGCCTAATACAGGTCCACTATACCAAAGCAACTGGACAGAGACTCCACTCTAATACAAGCAAATCTGAATAAGTCATAAAGCTTCTACAAGCACACAAGGGAGAACATCTAAGTGAACAACAATAACCCTAAAGTCAAGGCAGTGGTGCTGCCTATCACTGCACAAGTACTGAACCAAGCACAGTCCTGCCCTTTCTAGCTCTGTCTCTGGCAATCCCAAGAGCCCTGGAGGAGACAAATGGGTCTTTTTATTTATTTTGGTGGGCAAGAACGAAAACAGAAACCACTGGCACCAACATCCCATCTTCTGTAAAATGCCTGAGGCTCACTGTACAAATAAGCTTTCCATTTTCATCTTCCTAACGCTATTTTTAGAACATCTTGGCAATGCCAGATGCCTCTTTCAAAGGCTGGACTCTCCAGATCTGGAGTTAAGATTTACAACCATGTGGCTGGCTAGAGCCACAGATGTTGAAGACAACAGGCCTGTGGGAAAAGCCCCCCCCTCCATCGTTAAGATGACATTGTTCTAAAAGCTGCTCAAAATAGTCACTCACAGCATCTTGAGTATCTCCACGTAGCAGCCCAGGATCCTGTCTGCCTGGGCACTGAGCTCGATGCTCATGGTGCTGCAGGTGGGGCTGACCATCAGGCAGTCGATGAGGTTGGGCTCGCTGTCGTTGCCCACGCCGGCCGTCATCTTCTGGTTGGCCGTGTTGTTGCGCTCCACTTCCACGTGGATCTCGTTGGAAGTGACAATAACTGGTTTGAGACGGGATTCAGTCAAGGTGGCCTCCTGAGAGACCAGGTCAGGACTGGTGTGCAGAAGGCGGAGGGGGAGATTGGGCTTTCGGTCACACTGCTGCTGGCAGCCATTCCGAATTTCCTTCAGGCTTGGTGAATTGTCCCGACTGAATTTTAAAAAGAAAGGAAGAAATTTCAGTAGACAGACAGACCAGCAGAGAGCGGGAGAGAGAGTGCAATGCTGAGAAGCCACGATTTTTTGCAATTTCCCACTGCATTTCACTCCAGCCCACCGGATGGCTTTCTTCTGTGCAATCGGATTACTGGAATCAATTAAAAACATTAAAAGGCTCCAATAGGACTGCTCTGCAGCCCCTATTTGACAAAGATTTGAGCTTTTCATTACTCTAATTGACAGACCAGTTTAGTCTAAAGGTGAACTTTCCTGTCCAAGTTGTGCAAAGCTGTAACAGAATCCATGCCCAAGTATGTATCTGGCTATAGTACATGCCCAGACATTTGTCTGCAGCCCTCGTGTCTGGAATTTGTGTTGGACACTGAGCAGCCCCTGTCCGTGCTCTGCCATGAGGAAAGTCAGATAGGCATAAACAAACAGGAAACATAGCAGAGGGGAACCCTCAGTGTCTACTGGAAACTGGCTCGTGTGTCAAGAACTGCGGCGTCTATTTTGCGGCAAGTGAGGAATCAGATTTTCCACAATAATGGAGACAGCGCTGTGAATCCAGCTCAGGTTCAAAGCTGCAGAGACACAGGGATTTACACACAACCCTGTCTTCAAGGTCTCACCCCTGCCTTTCATCCCTCCCTTGGTGAGTACCAGGGAATGAAGGCTCAGCTTCTTTCAGGTTTTCCAGCACACTCATCTCTTGCTGATCTTGTTTAGCAGTGCTGGTGGTTTGGAAGGGAATAACACGTGGTCAGCTGGGATTTCATACTGACCTGTTGATAAATTCCTCGTAACAGGAATAAATGGCAGCTAAGCAGACAGCTACGAGATTTGGCAGGACCCTGGGATGTGGGCATTGTCCTGTTGGACCATGCATGCTGAAAAACAAAAAACACGATGGTATCATTGTGAGGAAGATTTTTGTGGGCAAAACCAGCCAGCCAGAACGAGGATATAGACCTGTATAGGCACCCTTGGGGGATCTCCAGAAGGGCCATAACAGAGAGATATTTTTACCCTGTAAATGCAATGGCCTTATTTATGAATGAGGCTAAGACTAAGCATCAATTTAATTGATGTGGTATTCCTAATGTTCTCCCAAAATCTCACATTTGAGTGAGCATTATGAGCTCAAAACTTAATTTGAATCATTCTGCAGAGACTTTGAGTCTAAATGTGTATCAAGAACGTATGCATAGCAAAGTCCATTTGCTTGCAGTGTGGAAGTAGGCAGGAAACCCCAGCCTTATCTGAGAATTAGCATTTTTAAAAAGAGACTTCAGTAACACTGCCTGATGGACTTGATTTATTTGCTGTCTGGCAGTGCTTTTTTAAAAAAGCACCAGCTATTGGTAACAGCCAGTAAAGCAGGGCTGGGAGAAGTAACACACTAAAGCATGGACACAGGACTGGAAATACACCATAAATTAAATGCAGCTAACCTGTGAATAAACTTCTTCACCACCTCCATTCCAGCATTCAGCTCATTCAAAGACAGAATGTACTCCTGAGTAAAGAGCCGCAACCGAGGGCACTTCCCAAAATCCTGTCCAAGAAGGAGAGACTCGGTGAAGACGGTGAATGTACATCCAAACTGTGGGTTTTCAAAAGAAACCAGCTCAAACACAACTGAATTCACATTGCTATTATGTCGAGAAGCTTCAGGAGAAGAGCACCTCTGCATTGAAGTAATGTTCTCCCCATTAATAATGACAGTGTTTCCAATCTCTTCTTTCCTTTATACCCACTTTGAAAACAAAGTTCTGTGTAATGAAACAATCAACTAAAAACATAAAAAATATCACTTTTATTTGTGTTGCACTTTTCACTTAGTATTTTGATTTTGAAATATATTTTTGTTTGGCACTTTTGCTTCTACTCCTAACTATAGATTTTTAGAAATAAAACTCAAAAAATATTCTATTTCCATATTTGGCATGGGTATCTATTCTGGTTTTAGAGAAAATCATTTTGACATGCTATCAATAAGCAATCAAGTACAAAACAGTGATCTGTTTTTTCTCCAGGGATTTTACTCCAGCTATGCTGTGAATTTGACAGGTGAGCTCAAGAGTGGCTTTCTTTAAATCCTGAAGGCAGAGAGGCACCTGCTATCTGAAATCTTGCATCTCCTCACATCACCTGCTATTTTTAGATGTGAAAAGAGTAAATTCTGCTGTCTGGTGAGTGTTAGTCCACAGACATTTCCTCACATTTACACAGGTGTAACCTTATTACACAGGTGTTGCAGAACTACAGAGCTGAATTTCCAAGGGGGGAACAAGGTCCACTGAGGACAAACCAGCACTCCCAGCTACTCCTCCAGTAGCTGCCTGTGGAAGTTATCCTGAAAAAAATACATGGCAACTGAAATGTTAAAGAAATGCCACAAATGGTAATGAATTATTGGTGGTCTGTAAAAGGGATGATCAACTCCCAGAGCACTGAAACCTTCTGTTAACTCATTTTGGTTTCAGGCACTTTTATAGCACAACCTGTATTAATACCTGCTAAGTTTTACAGCCAGAGAAAACGAGCAAAAACTTGAACATAAACTTAGGCTGAACAATGTCTCCTTCAAGCCCTAAGTGTCTCTCTGCTGGTACTGAATGGATGCCTGGTAACTTCACCCAGAAAGGGACTGTGAGCAATTCCCCATCATTACAATTAACATCACTAGAGACCACATGTGCCTCATAGAACACTTGACTAATTTCACAAACATGCCTTCCAAGATAGCTTTTGCAATTGCAATTTGCTTATAAAAGTTTTCAACCTGTCTAGGTATCCTAACTGAAGTTGAAATCAAAGTCCAAGAGATCATAAAGAGGCTGTCATTGCTGACCTCTGCAAAATAAAATCTCTAAGTTTAATATAATGCCCTATACATACCAGGCACAGAACAATACACAACACCAATACTGATTGCTCAAAAAAATAAAAAGAGATAAAAAGAAATACATTCAAACATTTGGGCTGAGCCTACAAACAGCTAAAACCCAAAGGTTTGGGAGGTTGCTGAGCACTCCTCAAACAAATCAGCACACAACAGCCTCCAGTCCTACATGTAACCAGTATTATCACCAAGACAAAAACCTACCCTTGTTCTTCTGAGATGTTAAAATCAGAGATAAATGAGACACACTCTCCCCATTTTATAGGTAGAAAACTGTGGAGCAAAACTTGTTGGGAATTTTCAAAGGCCACAGAACAAACTGGAGGCAAAGGTGGAAGAGCCAGCTCAGTCTCCTGCCCCAAGGACTGCATGGGGCCTCCTGTGGTGATGAAGTTTAGTGTCCCCCTAAAGAGTAACTTTATTTATGTGCACACACACACACACATTCTCTAAAGCACTATTCAGTACAGAAGTCTCCAGAGAGTGGTAAAGTGCCCAAATCCACTCCAATTAATACCTGACACCATAAATTCTCCAACTACACACTGCGGTACAGACATGTTGATTTTCAATCTGCAAATGTTAAGTATGGTAAATATACCCAATTCTCTGAAGCTAACCAAATACAAGCATTACACTATGCATTTAGATTTTATTTGAGACCCCTCAAGAGCTCTGGATGCTTTAAAAAAATCAGTCTGGAATCCAAGAATAACATTTACAGAATATTTCACTGAACACTACAGAATATTCAAAAATGTTTACATGTCTGCAGAGTGCTGGCACAGAGCCAGGAACATGACCTTTTTGCCATGTTGGGCTTTCTATCTAGTTCTGTAAACTCAGGGAGTTAAATAATAAGATTAGAAAAATAAGAAATATAACTGTTTTCTACTGGGCTCATGCTAATCATAACATGACAATGGATGGTCTCTAAAATTATACGTTAGTGAAAAGAAGTTGATTATGAAGCTACAGAGGTTCATCCTTGAGATCACAACCAAATCAACTGCCTTAAATATTTTATTTTATTTATTTGTTATTCTTTGCCACTGCATTGTGAAGTAAGATTTCTTCATGTAACTTAAAAACATTGGCAGGAAACTTAATATGCCACAAAAGCTGGAGAGCTGGTAAGTACCCCAGATCTTTATTAGGAAAGGAATATGGATAATGAAAGAATATTTTCAGAGTTTGGGGAGGGGGAATCTGGTCTACAGGGTGGAAAGCAAAGCAGGGCATTTATTTCAAACACTGACAAGGAATTGATCAGCAATGAGGAGAGAGAAAGTCTGGGTAAAAACAGCCATAAAACAACAGAGTACCTAAATCTTGTAATGAGTAGGAAGAATAGCAGTAGAAAAGCATAAGGATATTCAGGAATCCCAGGTAAGAACTCACTGGAAATGAGCTTGAAGAAAAATGGAAACCAAGAAAAGAAAAAGTGTTGAGGGCCCCAGCTCAAAATGAACAAAGTCTCCATTCTGCTTTTGTTATTTATTTGTTTTTAAAGTGTTTTAACTGCAAGGATGGCATGAAGGGAGTAAATAAGGAACCAAGGGCCAGGTGGGAGAGAGCTGGAGCTGCATATGCTGGCACTGCTGCCAAAAGAAACATCCCTCAATGGCTTTGCTTAGATGCTTTTGAGGATCCCACTGAAAGCTTATTAGTTCTGCACTGCTGAAGTAACACACAATTACATGCAGCACTCACACTTTGGGGGGCAGATTTAGATACCACAGCACATGACAGGCAGCAGAGCAGCTGCTGATCACAAAAGGCACGGCAGTAAAACTCCTCCAAACTGCTGGAGCTCCCGTGGCACGAGCACTCACCATGTTGTGTTTGAGAATCCTCTGGACCACCGGGGTGAAGACCTCGATCACCACCATGGACCGCGGGCGCTCTCGGCAGTGCTGCAAGGAGCAACAGGAATTTTGGAGATGGGTCTCCCCTGGCTTACACCCCACCTCCCCTGGATTACCCCAAGATTAACAAAATCCAAGGGCTAAGTTAATCTTTCCTGATATTAAAGTATTCATAACACTGCTCCTTCCTATGGATTTGCTGGTATCTAGGAAAAGATTCCCATGGGAGCTCACAAACTGCAAATTACCTTCTCTTCCCTGTCTCAAAACTCACTGCAATGTACCATTCTGGGGTCTTACTGCCAACAGTTTTAAAAGGAAAGGGGCTAGAGACAGGAAGATATGATCAAACAGGTAGTGTAATGCCACAAACCTCCTTTCTCTGAGATCCAGGCTAAAAACCTGTGGTGGATCTTGGATGGTGCCAACAACCTACTCTCCCATCACAGGACGAAATATATAATCATAATGTATCAGTCAGAGTAATTCAGATTGGGAAAGACCTCTGAAAGTCATCTGGTCCAACCCCCTGCCCAAGACAGGGTCAATTCTGAAGATAAAGTCTCCTTATTACCCTGTCCACCTCTGTTTTGGGAAGTCCATAACTTGTTTCCCTTCCTGCAACTATACACACCCCATTGCACACATTTACAGACAATTAGGTGCCCATCTCTGAGAGAGATCAAAGGCAAAAAACCCCAATTAAGGAATAAAAATGCATCAAGTCTGAGGCCACTGATGACCTAAGAGTGCTTATAAAAATGCAAGTCAGAGGAGTTTCTGTCACCTGACTCAATTTCTGTAGGAAGAAGCAGCTGATTAATAACTCTGGATGGGAATTACAAGCAGCATCCAGAATATTTGACAAATGCATAGCCAGTCATCAGTAAGCAAATTTAAGCAGACTTGAAATTGAAACACAAACAGGCCTTGAGGAAAAGTAGTATTTTTAAATCCACAAGGTCTGCAATCCAAAGTACTCTGAAGTTTATGGATAAAGGATACAAAATGCAGCACAAGCATGGATTTACCAGAAAAGAGGATGAGTCTTCATGATCTTCCCACTGCCATTACCCAATGACAAAATACCATAAGGGTGAGTTACACACATCTGAACACAGTGGCTCCAGTGATTTCTGCATTAGCTAAACACAGCATGTAGTAGGACACCTCTTGTACCCAGACTGAGGTGTGGGAGTCTCAGAATTTTAACTCTCACACAGTATCAGGACAAAACAGTCTGATATACTAAGCATATGATTGTATTTATCATAATGGTGCTGTTCACCATTCCAGTATCACTGCTTGCTGACCAAAAACTGAACTCAATCTCAGCAGGAGGTAAGAAGTTAAAGAAAAAAAACCTCCTGCTCAAAGAACTACATTCATATACAACTATGAGACTTCAGAAAGCAAAGCTGTTCTGATACCTTGCAGAAGAATTCACAGAGGTCAGGAGGAGGATGGTTGTTTTCCAGCAAAGGTGCAATTGCCTTCAAAAATAAAGGGAGAAAAAAGAAAAATTGAATTTCAAGGCAGCAACTGGAGAAAGCATATTGCAAAGAAGTATTTTTCTTGGGGGAATAAAAGCTCACTTGTAGAAACAGACAAAGCATCAATAGAGAAATTAGAGGCAAGCCATGAGTTTATTTTACAAGTGAGCTCAAGCACACCTCCATTATGAATCCTCAGGAAAACTCTGCTTTTAACTACATCAGTGTAAATATGTAAAACAGGCAAAGCAGTGCAATATTTATAATGGTTTAAATGGAAACAGGAGCAGACCAATTGCTTTAGGATGTAATAAAGCAAGGATGAATCTGGCTCACTGTTTGAGTTAGAACATCTCCCTAAAAGAAAAACCTGAACACCACCACACACACACACACACATATCCTTCATGAAGGAGTTCAAGCTCTTTTGTTGTGAGAAAGAGCTCACTAAAACCAGCCTAGCACTGTTCTTACCTGGGAGGACCCTATTTATCAAAATCAAGCATCTAACTTTGTAAAAGCTGAGATCAACCATTCCTTTGTTGCTACGCAAACCAATGTGCTTATGCTGGGTAAACACATTAGAGGTCATACCTGCCACTGAGGGGGTAATGAACTTATGCTGTTGTTACTTCCTTTGTAAACTAGAAAATGGTACCAGAATAATGTAATTCTATGTGGTGATGCCTTCAGGCTTTTCCACTCTTCAGTTACAGGGATTCCCAGTACCCATTTCAACAGAAGACACTGAACACAGCAGCCAGGACATTTTGTATTAAGCAACTGAACACCAGATATTTTATCTGGATGGCACCTGGGGTTTTAACTAAGGCAGCCTGTTTTGGTTTTTGCTCTCCCTCTCATCTCCTTACTCAGCCCTGTGAGTCTGCTTGCAGTGGCTGTGTTTCACAGTCACACCCAAACAGGTCAAGATTAGTGTGAATTTTAACAGTGAAACCCAAGCACATCTGCAAAGCTCTGTCTGGCTACATGTAGGAACTATGATACTCATTATCATGTGCCATCCTCCTGCAACTGTTCTCTCCTCCTCTGGTGGTGGCCCAGCCACAGGGGACTGATGGAGAACACAACCCCATCCAGTGAGACCAGAACATCCTCAACACCTGAGCTCAAGATCTTTCCTGAACCCATCTTTGGGATTCTTTGCTTTAGGATAACAGCACCACAGAGAGTCAAGCAGCCTCAGTGGTCAGTGTGGCAGAGTGACAGCCTGAAAGGACCTTTTCCTGTGTTCTCCTTGTGAGTGCCATGGTCAAAAGCACGAAGCAGACACGTGCTGTGCCACGTTGCCCAGCCGTGGCAACACGTGTGTCCCCATCCCGAGCAGGAAGGGATTGGTTGGGATATTGATCTGCCCCAGCACCATCCAGACAAGGAAAGCTGGTCCCATCTGCATGGCCAAGCACTGTGTACTTTCCACATGCTACATAAATACACAGTATTAGCAATTCTTTCCAGGAATAGCCCAGGTTATCTGGGTAATGGCAGTGAGCTCTGAATGCCCAGGAACTGCCAGCTCCTTAATGGCCTGGGCACAACCTACACGAGGGCAGGATTTGAACTGAAGAAGCCATCACCCAGAGCAGTGGAATAGCACAGGCTGAAAGCACCTTTGGAGGACACCTGGTTCACCTTCCCTACTCACAGCAGGGCCACTTCACATCTTGTATTAAAAAATCCTTCCCCAAAAACAACCAGCTGTAACTGGGGGCCTGAACTATCCTTGGCACTAGAGTTAAACGAAGGTTATAGCAAAGAAAAGTAAATTCTACTTCAGAAACTTATCTCAGTGACTGATTCCAGCTAAAAGGGTATCTTAAACAGCAGTTAAACACAATTAATACCTACTGGCAGCTACCTGACACCTTGTTATTTTGCAGAAAGAGTAACAGAGATGTGATACAATCAGCTGGTGGTGAGGCTCTAGATTAGATTACTAGGAAAATCTCCTGGAAATTGCCAGAGAATGAAATTAAATCACAGTGATGGGCAACCAAGTTCCATCTCTCTGATAAACTGTTGAGATTTTATACTTTGTTTCACAAGCAATAGAGCTGCCATTTGATTCACTCATTTCCATGTCTAAATATATGCGACCTACAAAAAAGAAAAACGTTGAAGAGGATATTTTTACAAATAAGTTAGCAGGGAGTTAAAGTGGAATGACACAAGAGCAATCCCTTGCTCACATACCCTCAGCAATGGAGACATTCTGTATATGGCAGCATTAGCCCTTCAGGAAACTACTCAGCCTAAGGGTTTTATAGGGCACATCTGGAAATGATGGGGTTTGATTATTTAAAGTACATATATAGATATGGATATTGCTGTGTAGCTTCCTAAGGAGCCCATTTGGACAGATTGTTAACACTCAACATGCTGTGCTCTCTCATACAGGCTGATGAGAAAGCTTTATTGTAATTCATCTATGGAACGAGGGAAATGACAAAGCCACACAAAAAAACAGACAAATGGTTTTCATTCCTGCCTAAGCTCAGCAGCATTGGTGGAAAGGCTTTCACATTTGCCCTACTTCACTGGGGCAGATACAGGCACTACAGAACTGTTATCAAACAGCATCGATTTATCCTCAGCTTTTGACAGAAAGATACTCACCACAATAATGCTCTCATGGTCTTGAGTGGTTAAGTTGTTGTTCTGAAAGAGTTGAATAGAGGAAAGATGAGTGAGCAAAGAGCACTCTTGAGTTGGTACACCAGCACACACAGTCCTCAGCTACCACCAGACACAAGAAGAAAGGCTCTAGACTCAGCTGCTTATTTTCTGAATAAAAACCATGGCATTAAAATCATTCTCCTAAAGGAGGTGAAACATTGCCTGCTATGAGGAGTGGTGCAAGCCCTCACTGCTCCTTCAGCTCAGCACACGAACACCAGGATGCCAGAGGTCTCAATCACTTGAAAAAGTAAAGCCATCAATATATTTCTTTAAAATGTTTTCTTAGGACAAGCTGTACATCTCTACAAAAATTATTAAAAGGATTGTTGTGGTGTTTTTTCTTGTGGCCAGTTTTCCCAAAATTCCTTCTTTAAACATGGTACCAGGAAAAGCCAATAAATTGACTGAGAGTCACCTATCCTACCACCTATGCAGAATTTGTCCTGTGCTTTTTCAGCAGCATGATCCATCCAGAGGTTACACTGGTGTGAGTAGCTGAGATTTTTGACTACTGCAAGAAAAAACAATAGTGGATTTTTTTGCTTGTATCAAATCCTTCTGCTATCACATCAGAACTAAGACATAAAAACCCTGCTTGGGATTATAATTCCTGTCCATGAAAAGTTAAACATTTGAAAGAGATGTTATAGGAGGAAGACAGAATAACAAAATGCTTTTCTTTACCAGAATTAGCAAAAATAAAACAGCTACACAATTAATTTATTCGTGGGCGTATATATTGATATTAAAATTATTGGTCATGGAAGCAAAGTCAATGGAACAGAAGTCAAAGGGAGCTTTACCAATGACTTAAGGCATGAGTTAAACCCATGACAAATTTACTGTAGATAATTAAAAAAACCAAAGAAACAAAAAACCAACCAACCAAAAAAACCAAACCAACAAACACAAGATAAATGGGACTTGCTTTGTTTCCAGAAATCTACATAACATGGGTCAAATTTTCCTTCTCCCCAGCAAGTGCAAACTCCACTCAAGTCAGCAGAAGTCACGAGCAGACTCACAGGCAGAATTTTGACAGCCCAAGTTAAAATAAAACCCACCCCAAAGTTTTAACTGTTTGTCTCAGAGCGACAGGAGCCCTGCTGAGGCCATACCTCTGAGAGCAGCTTGGAGACAATCTCCAGGGGTGCCTGGTGGATGGAGTCGTCCTGCAGAGGCGACGTCAGGGCCATGTCCACCAGCGTCCTGATCTCCTTCAGCACCACCTCCCAGCGGCTGGGGTTGCTCAGCACCTTCTTGTACTTGTAAATCTTCTTCTGCAAGACACGTGAAAGGGCCACACTGACACCACCGTGAACACCACTGAATGGAGCTGTGCTTCCTACTGCCCAAGGGGGCTGCTTTGTATTTTGAGTTTTGTCTTTTCTGGTGGCTGAAAAGCTGTACTTGAAACATTTAAATGGACAAGAAAACCTTTTATGTCTAAACCAGTTTCTTCTGTGGAAGCAATGAGAAACCATGATTCTTTTTATTTCAAAATGAGTTTTTTAACTCCAGAGCATCTTTCTTTTCATCATCTCCTCTTGCAAACACCTTCTTCCTCAGGCTAACAACAGATACCTGCTATTGAACTGTTTCTACAGCTTAAGTTCTTTAAAAGAGACTCATTAAGCAAGGGGGGAGGGAGAGAGAGGCTATCAAAACATCACTCTTACAGATCCTTTATTCTGCATGTGAATTCACATTCAGAATTCATTTAAATCAATACTATCAAAGCAAAAAAATCTCACAGACCAAGAGGCTTTTTTTTCTGCCTTGAAGGAGCCTGAAAAATCATGTTACACCCTCCAGCTGTAACAGAAGCCAACTTGTAAAGTCTCCAAATCTTCCATACAACAGCATTTCCACTCTCAAGAACAGCATTCCTGATTGCCTACCCCCATCTGCCCCAGTTCCCTGCAGGCACCTGACCATGCCCAAGCTGTTTCATCAACAGCCCCATCCACAGAGCAGCTGGATAAGCAGAGGATAACTCTTACTCCTCAGCAGCCATGTGACCACAAGCTACTGGAACAGAAGCTGTTTTATATTATAAAAAGCAATCTTTAGAGAAAACCCATCCACCAGAATTTCCAGAGGTGGCTTGATGGCACTCTACAAGTTCAAGGAAATGATTGTGAGTGTTCAAACGTCACTCCTGAAAACAACATGAAGGGCACATGAGAGCCAGGGGGGACTCCACAAGAGCGTGGAGTCAGTGCCAGAGGCAGGGAGGGAGCTCTGCACTGAAGGGACAGCACTGCCAGGACCCCACTTGTATTTAGTTCACATGCCCCTCCACTCCCCTCTCTGCATGAGCCTGGTCCTCTGTAAAAAAGGATGTGCAGAAGGCTGGACACACGCTCAGGTTTATTTAACAGCACTGGCTGGGCACTCATGTTTACACGAAAACATCAGTGTTTTACACTAAAAATGGATCTTATATTGCTCGGCAGCATTTCCATGAAATCCACATAATGTGCCCATTTTGTGCAGCTTGCAAATCTCACCTGCACATTTTGGGCTACACATAAGTGTAACACAGGCAGGGGACTTTGCAAAGAGCCTGAGTGCTTTGTTTTGCTTTGGAGCTCTGCGGCTCCTGGCATTTCCCCCTGTGCTCGCCCAGGGCAGCCCAGCAGGAACCATCTGAGCAGGCTGGCTCTCTGCTTATCAGCCACTTCCTTCCCACCCCAGAGCAGACCTACTGCTCAACAGCAGCCACCTCTGCACCCCCACCTGAAACACAACAGAGAACAATGCAGAAAAATACAGATTTCAAATGCACTGGGCTTGTCAGCCTTCTTATAGGGGGGAAAGGAGAGTGGAACTAGGCTGACATGTAAAGACTGATAAAGCAATCCAATTATCTTTTTAATTAAATTCACGCCAAGTACAAAAGCACACTGGCAATGTAGTTCACACTTTCAGTGCATTTTAAGTCACTGAAAAACTAAAGGAACATAAAAACATGCTGCAGACATTATCAAATGAGGCTGGGATTTCAGAACTGCACAAAAATCTTTGTACTTCTGAGCTCCTTGGGACAGAGCAAATCCAACAGTGATTTTAAGCTACCAGCACTACTTCTACATCACAGATTTCTTGGACTCTTTAGGAAACTTCCACCATAGAATTTAATTTCTCTTATTCATGTAGTGCCTTTATTTATGGTCTTTTTGTTAGACCTACTCCAGCACTAAATTTAAGACAACCAGACAGTCTTTTAACTGGAAACAACTCCTTTCTAATTGACGACATCAACCAAGCTGGTTCAAGAAATATAATTTCCAATGCTGAAACTTACTCCTTGGCCCTGTATTGTGAAGAAGTAAAACTCAAAGCAGAATTGGAAGCTGATAAAATGTGGGGACGGGGAGGACAAGAGTTAGATGACTGGGCTATTGCATCCCTGCCTCTCTGGGCTGCCCCTTTTTTGGTGAGTTACAACTCATTTTCAGAGCAGCTCCTTCAGCCTAAGGGGGGGTAGCTGCTGAAGGAAACTCTTGCCCAACAGGACGCTGCTCAGACAACTCCACCACAAATATTCTTCTTTTGCTGTCAAATCCACTCTTGCTTGGGGTGAGGGAGGAGCAGGGGAGTTTTTCTTTCCCTTTTAGAGATGTCCATTAAAAGCCAGGATTCTGATGATGCTGACGTACATTAGAGGGAAGACAGCAGAAACTTTACCCAGTGCCAGGCAGGGAAGACCAACCAAAGCTGCTGCTCAGGGCAGGCAGGCAGGGATTCAAAGGAGCATCAGGGGACAGCCACCTTTGCAGACACACTGAGCCTGCTGCAAGCACTGAATCCAAACTTATCAGTGCGTGCTTCATGTTTCCAGCACAATGGATTGAGTGGCACTGACAGACTGAGCTGCAGTCTGTGAACGACATTACAGGAGTCTTGAATGATGGTGGGAAAGCAGCAGAAAATAAATAAATAAATAGAGGAGCCATCCCCAAGAGGGTTGAACTCTGCTGTCCTGAACCTTTGGCCATGGTTACAGTGCTGTTTTTCTCAGCAGAATGCTTTTCACTGTTGAGCGCCTCGCTGAAAGCCTCAATTAAAGCCTGAAACCTATCAGTGGGTTACAGAAGCAATTTGCTGTGTCTCAGCAAGCACTTAGGCAACACCGAGCCATCTGCTCCATTCTACCTGTGCTGGCTCTGGAGCAGGGAGCAACCATCACTCACAAGCTGGAAAACAAAGCTGCCTGGCAAAGACCCACATGGAGAACAGGAATGTCAGTCCAGGGGTTCACTGCCCCTGGATGTAGGTGTAAAAGATGCCTTCAGTTGCTGAAAAAATTCACACAACATTTATCATTAATAGCCTGAACACAAAAAATACCAGGGTAGGAATTGAGTTTCTAGAGAGATTTCACTAAAAGCAGTGGCTGCTGTGAAAATTTATGTGAATGAAAATAAGATATGCCAACTTGGAATTTGACCCTTCTAGTTACTGACCAGCCAAAGCCACACAGCCAGTGTCACTCCAAATTCTTGCCCATGCTGACTTTAAATGCAAAACCACTGAATTTATTAAGTACCCAGAAGAAGCAGAATGAGGAGAATAAGTGACACTGACAGGGCATCCTTCATTCTCAAATCACTCTAATTAATTAAGTCCTGCAGAAACTCAAAAACCTAAGTCTCAATCCTGTTTTACAGGAGAAAAGAACTGAAGTCCACATATCAAAAATTACTTTTCTAGAGTTATTAAGCTAGGAAATGTGACAAAAATCTATACACAGTTGGTTTTACCATCAGTGCCCAAAAACCACTGAACACTGCTTTGAACAGAAAGTTCAAGAGGGCCCAGGAAACTTTCAGCTTTTTTAAAGTAAGATCTTCATGTGTTTTTCTTTCCTATAATGGCTTCATCTTGTAGCCCTTGCTCATACACCACTTTCTTGGACGAGAATGATAATAATACTGATGTAGTCAACAGCTAAGAAAAATGGACTCTAATGCACAAAATCAGCCAGCACGGAACATTTGCCTTGTTCAGCCCTAGAAAGACCTTTCATGTTAGGAACATCTTAAAGCAGCCAGCACAGCACACCTGATCCAAAAAGGGAAAAATGCAGTTAGCCCTTTTGATGACAAAATTTCATCCCTGCTTTGCCACTGCCAGCCAAGGAACGTTCTGTACTCTTGGGAACCTGTCTTCCCATCAGCAAATACTATCTTCATTACATAAAGAAAATTAATGGCCATCCCTAATGCCGAAGAGCCCGCTGAATTCTAGCTCTCTTCCCCCCTTTACCACATGTCCCCTGCAAAGGATCGCTCAAGTCTTTAGTGGGGAGGCTCCTGCAGGAACGGGACAGGCTGCAGCCCCTGCAGGAATGCAGGAACGGGACAGGCTGCAGC